CAAAAACATAATCACCCCCAATAAAAAATTAGTTGTTTTATCATTATGTTGAATGTTGTCATAGTCTTCTCTGATTACCAGATAAAGCCAGTGGAAGTGTTATCCTTTAGACACAGCCATGCCAAAAGAGAATTGTTGTACACATTGCTAGGATAATGGTGTTGCTTCCCTACCTACTGTCTATAGAAGCTATTTTTCTTTGCTCAGGATGATGGGCTCTGTTCATTTGGGCTCTTGCGGGGACCATTAAGGTGTCAAAGGTGGCCAGAGCCACCATTAAGGTGTCAAAGGTGGCTCTGGCAAAGTTTTGCTCCTGTATTATCTCTTGGTGACTAATGTCCCATCCGGTGTAATGACTGTTTTCCTGACTTGTTGTAAAGATGACAGCCTGATTTTTGGTCAGATGATGTTAAATAGATACCGTTCATTTTACATTTCATCAGCTGATAGCCCCATGCTTTGATCCAGCAACACATGTGAACCTGGGGAGACAATTATTTAAAGACTGGAGAACACACCTTACATACCTTCCCTCATCAAAGAGAAGGTGAGGTGATGACTTGATCATAGTTCATACACCGGAGGAAGAGATCAGATAATAGAGACTTCTTTAATCCAACTGTCCAAACCATAGCCACACTGAATGGGGACAGAACTGGACAAATATACATCAGTTCACATTTTAACAGTGATGGTAACTCTCCATTGGAACAAATTACCAGGGGTGGGTTCTCTGCCCCTCAAAATTTTTGAACCAAGACTGACTTTTTTAAAGAAATTGTCTTTGTTCAGCCCCATTTTACTGGGCTTGGTGCAGAAATCAATGGATGACATCCTATAGCCTCTGTTATGATCAGAATGTCTCCCCTATGGCATTTAACATCTATTACTCTTTAATTCCGTGTATGATTGCATTAGTAGAATAGGGTGCTAGTAAGTTTCTGATCTTACATTTAGGCTTAGTGATAATTTACTTCTTTTCTTCTCAAAGTTCTCTTAACTGTAAGACAAAAGATAAACTTCCCCCAAGATCTAGTAAAAAATGACAAATCTTTTTATCCTCTGTCCCCTTCCAAATCAAGTAATGAATGACAGGTTTATTCCACTAATATAACTGAAGCTTAGAAAATGCTAGCAAAATGTCGTAATTATGAAGGTAATTGTATATCTTCACATGAGTGATGTGCTAACTGTGAAGTCATTCACCAGGCCAAGTGTCTTTTGTGGAGTCAGAATTATTTGTTTTGAAAACACAGTGCATCTCTTCATGACTCTTTCTGGAAACAAGCTGAGTATTTGCAGACCTCTAGGAGCCCAGTAATAAAGGAATTAAATATTATTCTGTTTCAGTGTGGGGGAAATGCAGACAATTTATTGCATTTCTGAGACAGGCTGGAGGCTGGGGTTCTGTAGGAGCCTTGTTTACTAAACCCTGGGGCTGGCCAAAGCATTTGGATCTGTTTAAAAAAGGGCTAAACCTGTGCCTCGAACTGCTATAAATTTAATAGACCTGTCTCTGACCCTTCTCACAATGGTCAGAATGGAGGAACTCTGGAGAAACTCCTAAGTGCTTCCGTTTTGTTGCCCCACATATAAATAGCTTATTAGCATCCTATTAAACATTTGACCCCATGTTAATTTGGTCACCACTTGGGTGTCCAGTATAGGCCCATAAATGAAGCTGTTTCACGTACAGACAAATCAATATTTATTACTGATCAGCCCACGGTTGCTCTTCAGTTCCTCACAGAGGCTCACTGTTGCAACAGCTTGCTCTGGCCATTCATTAACTGCACTGCAGACAGACAGCAAGTCTAGTTAACTAGGTCTGGAGCAAAAGCAAGTCAGCAAGCAAAATATTTGACAAATTCATTGAGGGGATAATTTGATTTGATATTTTTAAACTGTTGCTAGGATTATTTGGGAAGGGTTTTTGAATGACAATGCAGGGCACTACACCCCAGGAGCTCCTGCCCATCCTTTTTGGTTTCACTCCACGATATAGTACCCAGTCCTGTCTTGTGCTCAGCACCCTCAGTTCACATTAACATATGGAACTGAGAGCATACATTACTGAATAGGTGCAGACTCATGGGTCTTATATGACCTTCTGTTGTATCTACTTTATACCAGACAGGCTGGTGTATATAGGAGGTATAAAGCCTCCCTTCCCCCACTTGGATTTTCCATAGAGACTGTCCATTTGGTGCAGAGCTATTCCATCGGCTCAAGCTGCCTGAGGCACAGAAAGTCTTCTGAAGTGGGCTGAGGAATGGGTATAAGATGAAGGTGGCAGGTACCAGATTAGGAGTGATAAGAGCTGCAACAGAGGTAGACTTGTTTGCTGCAAAATATTGTGTGTGCCACTGAAGCAATGGGAGGGCCTGCCCTAAAGCCCAGTGGGGTCCACCTTGACTACCAGCAGCTCCTAAATGTGGAGAGGTAAGCCAATTCCACTCTGCCCCTGGGCTGATGCCTTCACCATTACTGGGATGAATCTACCCCATGGTTTCCAAATCAACAGTCTGTTGAATAAAAGGTATCTAATAAAAGTAGGCCATTATTATCCTGCTGATTCACATAGACTTGGAACTGAAGTTCCCCAAACCTAAAACTAAACCTAAACTTATCTAGATCAGAGAAATACTCACTCCCTACTCTCCAAAAACCCCTAATAGACTTTCATTCTGGAAAACCCTGCGCTGAAATCTGTTGTAGGGCACTGTTGGTTTCACAATCCCCACTGGGCCTTCTGTGTTGAATTCTTGCAGGTTCTCTGGGAAGGGCAGTAACATGACAATAATAGTTAATAAGTATCACTTAGCTTCAAGATACCACTTTTCATTCCTAGATCTCAAATCACTTTACAGAACACCATTCTCCCACCTCCCCCCCCCCCCCCCCCCCCCCCATTTTTCTCAGCTGGAGATAACTGAGGCACAGCACAGTGAAGTGATTCACTCAAGGCCATACACAAGGCCAGTGGTGGAACTGTCAGTAAGTTCTAGGCTTCCTGATTAAGTAACACATATAGGAAATAATGGCACCTCCCAGGATTATCAAATGGGATTTACTTTCATTAAGTGAAGGGCAGTTGTGACTCTTGTATCAAATGGTTGTATCATTCTATAAGGGAGTCCCATTTGCTTGATTATTTGGAAGGAATGGAAATTGCTAGCAGAAAACAGAAGAAATACCCAGTAGTGAAAGATGTTTAGAGATACTGCTGCTGCTGCCATCTAGTGACTATTATGTCCCTTTTTTAGCTTTAAGAGATGTGCGCGACTCCAAAGAATGTTTCTTTTTTAGATTCTCCAAGGCATTCACTCTCATTGCAGGGGAAGAAAGTCACTATAAAAAGAGCAAGTTTTGGATGTTTATAAATTGTTTTCAGCAACACAGGAATGCTAGAAGATCAAAGAGACAGTGGTACAGCTATTGCATAAGTGTGCATAACACAGCCTGTCAGCCAGTAGTCATTAGAGAGAGCTCTCCTGTGGCCTCTGTGAAATGAGCTAGTGGTCTTACTCCAGTTCCAGTATGCAGGTGTCCCCATCACATATACCCAGCACCATAAATGCCTTCTTTATTGTCCATCTCAGCAGAGAGACTAAGGGCTGAATAGGCCTGAAGACAGAATGATCCTCTCATCCCCTTAGGTGGTCCATCCGGATCAGGGTTGTGGCACATCAATGAGGCGCTGTGGGAGATAGATTGCCCTGCAGCTGTGTGCGCATCTTGGAGGACTTACACAGGACTTCCATTTCAGAGCTGTCACTGCAGAACGTTTCATGAGGGCAAGATTCACTAAAAGCAAAACTTGAAATAAAATACAATTGTATCCCTTAGCGGCAGTATTCTGGTTAGGGCAGAAAGCTGTGCACAGCAAGGCACTCGCTGAATGAGTGATGGACTTTTATGCAGGAAAGAAGCTAAATATGTATGTGCCATGTTATGTTCAGCTGGTAGAGAGAGCACTGAGTCCTCTCACAGCTGAATTCTCTCCTTTAAATTCAGGTGATCCCAAGAGGAATGCCTCTCATTTCCCTCAGTGGGAGTTATATGTACCCTGTCTGAAGAGAGTAAGGTGCATGAATAGAAATTGCAGGCTTCAGGTGACATCCAAGCTGTGATCTGTGGTTATCACAAGAGTTGTAGTGACTCCTCTCCTGCAGGAGTAATTGTTTTGAAGAGATTTTGGCAGCATTCCCCCCTCTTTGATCAAGGTAAAAAGAATTTTTATTTGCTCTCATGCAAAGTCAGTGCAGCTTGCATGTAAAATGCTATGCAGACCTGCAGGCTGGTAGCTTTTTTACTTCCATCTCGTGCTGGTTTAATATGGCATAAATATGCACAGAAGGTGCAGGCACATCAGACCCATAATGTTCATGCAGTTTTTTAATGACTCTTTATGCATTTTATATATAGTGTATGATTAGCATTTGATGCAATGCTAATCAATTGTATCAGAGAGTGGTTACATTTTTTTATATACTAATGCCTGTTTTAGGCCATCCTAACTGATAAGGATTAACGTGCTAGTTTCATAGGGGCAGATTATCCTGCATCCTGCCTATTGTCAGGCTTCTTGCATCTTTCTCTAAAGGAAGAGATTTTGGCTGCTGTGAGATCTGGGATATTGGATTGGATGGATTCTGGGGCTGTTTTAGTATGGCAAGTCCTACGTTCTGATAATCAGAGAAATCCAAATAAACAAGCAATAAATAATCCCAATGAAATGTAATCCTGAGACCTGGATTTACCAGGGCACTTCAGCTGCTTCATTTTGCTCCAAAAATGCAAAATAGCCCCAAACACAAGTAGGCAGAGCAGTTGGGTTTGCTGTTGCTTTGTGCTGCTGGCGCAGTTCGAAATGGCCAAAATGTACCAGTTTTATGCTAGTTCATAATTACAGTGAAAATGTTGAAAGAATTGGATGAAGGCCCAGAATAAGGTAAAGCTGAAATAGAATAATCTGTATTTCCCTTTTTGTGTTGCAGTGCCATGGTTCCCTAGAAGTATCCAGGAGCTTGACAGATTTGCCAATCAGATCTTAAGCTATGGAGCTGAGCTGGATGCAGACCATCCTGTAAGAAAGGAGCCCTGTGTTTTTAGACATAACTTGACTGTAATTGGGTCTGATGATTTTCCCATGGGAACATTCTTTACAGTGGGCCAGTTTCTGAGCTGTCCCATGGATCTAGGGTTATCTGAAAGCTATTCCAATCTCTAGCAAAAATTAGAGATCCCCAAAGGTTACTGTAATTTATAAAAGTGCTGGCAGCGCAAAAGGGGTATTGTGGTAACTGGCAGTCTCTAAAACACAGAGTTACCAGACACACGCCCCTTTTTCTCAGTTATTCCAATTATACTTATGCAAAGGAGTCTGAATGTAATGGCTCAAGGGACAGTTTGGGGCCATTCATGGGCTCATGCCACAAAAAGTTGGAAGGCACTATATTACAGCATGGGGAAATGGAGAGTTTCCTTCCTTCAAAATATTAACAGGTGATTGAAATTTATATCTTGTCATTTATTTATGGAGTCTAACATTGCATTTGTGTGGCATAACACAATAAAAGAAATGGTCTCTGCCCCCCAAAACTTGCAATTCACAGTTGGCCCTAATATACAAGCGAAGGCAGTCTGTTTGCAGTAGTTAGCATGTGAATTCTTAAGGTATTTTTAAAACTCTGCCCAATATAAAAATACTTTCTGTTTCAACCCCCCGCCTTCCAACCAAACAACTTATTTTCATGTCAAAACACACCCAGTTTCATGCAGTGCAACAGAAATTGCTGCTATTACTTTAATTGAGACAGGGTGATTATAAATAAATTACATGCAGCTCAACAAAAATTGCAGCTATTAGTTTAATTGAGATGGGGTGATTAGTCATTCACTACCTATTGCTTAATCCAAAATGCGTTATGTATCATGTACAATGATTCATAATATTCAGTGTGGTCATATGAAAAACAGAATGAAAGAAGATGCGATTACTTGAGTGAACTGAATCAATAGCCCTCTCATGTATTGCACTGGAATAAAACAACATTGAACTTGAAAGCAAAAAAGAAATAAAAATAGGGTATTGAAATGTATAAAGCATCTCAGCACCAATTGCTGGATCTAATTAGTTAGTGATCAGTTTCCATTAAGTTGTCTTAAAAAGGAAATACAACTAGGCATATGTTATAGCAGTGGTGCTTAACTTCCAGCCTGCAGGCCAAATGTGGCCCAAGCAGTTATGTGATCTGACCTACCCAGCTCTCCACAGTGTGTGGCCGGGTCCCAATCTGGTTTGAGGGGCTTGGGCCAGGCCCAATCCAGTGTACAGGGCCAGGGCATGGCCCCATCTTTCTTATGGAGCTGGGGACTGATCAGCAGGTAAGGCTGGGCTGCAGGTGCGATCCAGTATGTGGGGCTAGTGCCCGATCCAGTGCGTGGGGCTAGGGCCTTGGGCTGATCTGGTGTGCAGGCTGGGTCCCTGGACATGATATGGTGCACAGGACAGAGGCCACACACCAGACTGGCCTTGCACAGTAAAATGGGCCTTGGCTTCACATGCCAGATCAGGCTTATGGATTGTGTCTGGTCAAAAGTTGGGCACCACTGTGATATAGTAAACAAGGATGACAGAATTTAAGATGCAGGAAGAGGAAAAGCAGGAATCTCTCAGGGCTAGATACATACATTTAAAAAGTCTAAGGTGGAATCTATCTAAGTAACATGGTTTTCCATGAGTAGCATAGTTCAGATTGGTTGCAAACAGAAAACGCATTTGCCCAGGAGGTTGGGGTGGGGAGCAAATATTAGAGCAGGTTCTGCCATTTTTAAACCAGTGTCTGCAAAACTTCTCTTCTGTTGTGACTATAGACCAGTTTCCAATTGCTTATCCTGGTAAAAGTGTAATGTCTGTACCCGGCCCAGATGTTTTAGCATTTCAGGTAGATAAGGGAGATAATAGTAGAGCAATGTTCTCTTATGCTATTCTAATGCATCATCTGTTCTCATATATACTAGTACACTTTGCTTTGGATTCAACTGTGTCATGTATCTGGCTTCATCACAGTTGTCCCCAGATCCATTTCCATCCTATATTGCGTATGGAACCATTTGTTAACTGTTTGGGAGTCAGATAAATTATTATTACTTTTGTACACTACAACAACACTAGTCAAAGTCTCAGTCAAGATGGGAGTCCCATTGTTCAAGGCTCTGGAAATATACACAGTGGCCATGTCTACATGAGAAGCTGCCTGTTTTACTGTGCAGTAGTGTCATGTGGCGACAGCCATAATGTGATGCTACTGCGCAGTAGCTTTAGTCTACTACACACTAGCGTCATGAAAAAAGTGTTCATCAGCCCTGCTACACAGTAACTCAGGTTACTGCTCAGTCATTTAGTACTTTTAGTACATTTAGTACTTGTCTATACAAGTACTAAATGAGTGTGCAGTAATGACTGAACAGTCAGCGTCTCGTGTAGACATGGCCAGTGAGGAGCAATCTCAACTCCGAAGAACAGTCTAAATAGCCATGCATGACAAAGATTGGGAGAATTACTATGCCTATCTTAAGAGATGGGGACCTGAGGCAGAGAGAGATCAAATAACTTGTCCTAGGTCACACACAGTCAGTGGCAGAGGTTGAAATTACAATGGACTGAGCTGCAAAACTGTCTTTTCTTTCTGTTGTAACCTGAGTTTTATCTGTGTCCTCTGGGATGGCTGAATTTGCAGGAACAGAGGTCTCATCTATGCTGAACTTCAAACAGTTTGAGGACAGCTTTAGGCATGGCTTCAGCTGGACCAGTTTCTCACATGGTTTGACTAGGTACTGAGGAGTGGACCTAATAAGCAGAAGCTTCTTTTAAGCATGGTTCTAAAATGGTTCAACCCTGCTGTTAGGGTGCTTGTACATGTGATGCCATTACCATGAACAGGTGACGAAAATGTCATTTTGTGCGAGGCTTAATGGTGTTACACTGTACATGTGCAAGAGTGTTGGGGGTTTAAAATGAGTTTGCATCATTGCAAACTAAACTACATTCCAATGTAGTTTAGTTTGCAATGGTGTGAATTGCAATGATGCAGCTGTCAGCTTGCCCCCCAGCAGCACTAGAGGCAGGCAGGCTCTGCAGAAAAAAAGGATCAGGCCCCTCGCTGCTTCTGCCTTCAGCAGCCTCCTGCTGCCAGCAGAACAGCTGGGGGCATCCAGGATTGGCCTAGTTTGCCCCTGTGGCAGTGCAGGAAGGTGGCAGGAGGGTGTCTGGGTTTGCTGGCAGCTGGAGAAGGCAGCAGAGATGGTGCACAGGGTTTTGGAAGCCCAGGCAGGCTGCTAGCTGGCTGGGTGCTGTCCCAGCTCAGAGGCACCCGATCCAATGCTTCCCCAGCCTGCCTGGGCTTTCAGCACCCTGTGTACCATCCCCACCACCTTCTCTAGCTGCCAGCACACCCAGCTGCCCTTCTGCCATCTTCTCATGCTGTCCCAGGGGCAAGGCAGCTCATTCCTGGGTGGCCCCAGGTGTCCTGCTGGCCGCAGGACCCTGCTTTCAAGCAGAAGCAGTAAGGGGCCTGATTCTTGCTGTTGTGGAGCCTCCCCACTCCTTCCTCCACAGCTGGAAGGTGATCTGCTGGTGGGCTGAGAAGCCACTGAGCTGCAGGGGGCACCAGTCCTTCCCTCCATGGTAGCAGCACCCCCTAGGGCCACCTGGGTGGGCTGCCAGTGGGCTGGATGCTTCCCCAACTCAGAGACAGCACCTGGTCCAATCCAACTGTTCCCTGAGCCTGCCTGCTGGAAGCCTGCCAGGTGCTGCTCCCTGGGTGGGCTTGGGGAACAATTGGATCAGACCGGGTGCTGTCTCCAACCTGGGGCAGCATCTGGCCACTAGCAGCCCAGCTGGGCAGCTATGGGGGGTGCTGCCAGCATGGAGGGAAGGACTGGGGCCCCCATTGCCCATTGGCAGCTCACCCCCTGGCCACAGGAAAGCTTTGGCTCCAAAAAAAAAAGGATTGGGCCCCTTGCCATAACATGACCAAAAAATGGAAGTGGTGGGTTTCAATTAAACACCCACTGTTTCAATTTAGGGGCATAAAATAAAACCCTGAGGACTAAAACCTTGTCATTGTATACAAGCACCCTTACTGACCAGTCAGACTTTGTAGACAACACATTAAAACAGGTTAAATGCCCTTTTGCACAGCTTTAATGGTGTTGCTGTTTGCACAAGTTTGCAAATTCGGTGGCGTATTACGTGTGAATTCCAGCTGCTGTAGCAAATTCAGTGGCAACCTTGTCATTGTATACAAGCACCCTTACTGACCAGTCAGACTTTGTAGACAACACATTAAAACAGGTTAAATGCCCTTTTGCACAGCTTTAATGGTGTTGCTGTTTGCACAAGTTTGCAAATTCGGTGGCGTATTACGTGTGAATTCCAGCTGCTGTAGCAAATTCAGTGGCATAGTGCGCCTTAAATGAATTTGGGGCGCAGCAAACTGAAACACCTCTGAGGAGTTTTAGTTTGCTACCTTACAGCCGTGGAGGGAATCACCAGGGTCCGTGTGGCTCAGGAGCTGTGCAGACAGCCCCAGCAGGCAGCCCGGCAGTAGCCCAGGAAGGCAGGCTGCACTGAAGGAAAAAAAAAGTGGCAAGCCTGATCTTTTTTTTTTTTTCCCCCTTCCCTGGAGCATGCCTCCCTGCCTGAGGTGCGCAGTGGCCCAGTGCTTTCTTCGTCAGCTGCGGTGCCCCCTGGGACTGCCCAAGTTGTGTGTCTGTGGGCGGGTGCTGCTTGGAGGGGGGCAGCTGCTGCTGCAGAGGGAAGCACCAGCCTCCCCACACCCCAGAGCTCAGGGACCTCTCGCTCTGCCGGCAACTCACTCTCCCCTCCCTGCCACTAGAGAGGCAGGGAAGTGACATGGGGGTATACTTGCTCTAAATTGAAGCGGGGTTTTTAAAAAACCACCGCGTCAATTTAAACCCCTGTGTCATCTACAAATGCCCACCACTGTTTTAGAAACTTTGTTCAGTGGAACTGTTCTGTAAACCAAGTTTTTGGCATAGTTTGGTTGCTAGTAAGAACAGGGTCAAAACATAGAAACAGAAGAAAATAGGACTGAAGAGACTTTTGCTCTAGGCAGAATCATCCCTGTCTAAACCATCCCAAGCAGATGTTTGTCTGCCTTTCATTATAAAAAAAAATGGTAGAATTCACACCTTCTCTAAGTAACCTCCTCTGGTGCTTACTGTTCCTAATATCATGGAATCATAGAAAATGAGGGTTGGAAGGGACCTCAGGAGGTCATCTAGTCCAACTCCCTGCTCAAAGCAGGACTATCCCCAATTAAATCAGTCCAGCTAGGGCTTTGTCAAGCCGGGTCTTAAAAACTTCCAGGGATGGAAATTCCACCACCTCTCTAGGTAACTTGTTTCAGTGCTTCACCACCCTCCTACTGAGAAAGTGCACTGGTTACCAACCCACTAGCTAAACTATTGCATGGGAGGATGTAAACGTGCAATCTGGCTTTTCAGCCCAGGGAGAAGCCTACTTCTCACTACAGTGCAAGATTTCCTACCATCAAAACAGGATTGATCTTGGAGTCCATACTTACCGCCTTACCCATTTCTATGTTTCTATGAAAAACTTCTTTTCCGTAAGGATATCTAGAATCTGGAACACACTCCCAGCAGAGGTGGTGCAGTTGCCATCCCTGGAGGTGTTCAAGAGGAGGCTGGACAAGCACCTCGTTGAGCTCATTTGAGCCCAATTACCTCCTGCCCATGGTAGGGGACCAGACTTGATGATCTTACAGGTCCTGTCTGGTCTTACTATTCTATTCTATGAAGCCATCTTCCCCGTTTTGCCTTTCCCTGGTGCCAAAACTGACTATACAGGGCACAACCTGACAAATGCACACGTGAGGTTTGCAGCCCTTCAAAGCAGTTTGAGTCATCGCAACCCATATGTGGTGTACATGCACCAGTTTTCTATGTTGCTAATTCGTAGCGCAGCAGGTTTTTTTGACACTAGGATCTCCCAGTGTCAAACCTCCTTGCCCCACTGAACAAAGTGGCATGGCTCACAAGGCAGCAGTGTGCACTGCCAGAAAAGGAGCCTAGCTGGCCAGAACCATGTTCTAGCCACTAGCTGGGCTCCAAGCAGCCAGCTCAGCACTACTGCTGCCCTTGGAGGCCCCCAGGTAAGGCTCTGCTGGGGCCTGCACAATTGCTGGCCCCAGCCTCCCCATACCCCATCCAGGTCACTTTGCCACGTACTGGAGTACGCGTGGAGGGGCATGTCTGGGGACCAATAGCAGTGGCACAAATATGTGCTCCTGCTCTTTGTCCTATGGGAAATGCGTGCCCCTGCACCTGCATGCTTGCCAGGATGCGCCCTACTTGTGGAATGGATTTTAGTACAAGATCACTTTCCTGTTCCCTCTGAATTCAGTGTCAGAGCTCCTGTTGATTTTACTGGTGGCTTGTTTAGGGCCTGAGCCCTGAATTGTTTTTACTAATTGAGAGGAATGCCTTTTAATCCTTTCTTTCTAGGGATTCAAAGATCCTGTGTACCGAGCCCGGAGAAAGGAGTTTGCTGATATTGCCTACAACTACAGACAGTGAGTGTGTAGTGCACAGACAGGGAAGAAACCTGTCACACAAGCAAATTCCTCCCTTTTTGCCCTTGTGCTTCTCTGTCAGTGGAAACAGGGGTATTTTCTTTTCCAGTGGTCTCCTTTCTTGCATATGTTTAAATCCTCCTATTCTTACATTTATCCCAAAACAACAGTTAAACAAAAGTAAATTGCTCAAGGTGCACATTCAAATGAGAGTATCTCCCCCTCTTTACCCACACACCACCACTAAGCTTTGTTGTCTAATTACACAGCAGTATCAGATGCTACTACAAAGACCTGAGCACTGAATAATGCAGCTTCTGGTATTCTTCACAGGAGGAGAAGGGGAGAGTGTTTATCATTCACATTAAAGTGGAAGCTGCACACGCTGTTAAAATAATGAATAACTTATGGTTCTGATGTTAATCCAGTCCTTAATACTCCACTTTTATCATGTCTGATCCAGCTGCACAGAGCAATTTAGGTTCTCATGTCACACAAAAAATAAACAAATGAAGATGATATGTCTACCTAGGCGGGACTTTTTTTTGCTTTTCTGCTTTTTTCAATTTTTCCCCATTGATCATGGTCCAATACAAAGGAATGAAACACCTGCCCCAAAGTTATTGACACCTTTACATCACTCCTAGTGGCTCAAGTCTTGAAGTTAGTTGCTCAACTCCCTTCATTTCAAAGGATTGTGCCATATAGTTAGTTTTTTATAAAGGGCTCCCTGATGTGAGGAGCAGTACTAACAGAACAAAAAGATGGGCCCTGCCGCAAAGGGCTTGCAGTCAGAGAATATGGCAAAACCACTGTGTTTAATTACTTTAAGGGAGTTAAGAAGTTAGAGAGAATCTTGCTGAAACATCTGGGCAAAGGGTTGTGGTAGGATTCTGTTCTTAGTTATATTTCTAGGAGTATATGGAAATAGTATACTTCCTGTGGAACTGACAGCAGAATTTGGCACACTTCAGCCAAACTTTATGTAAAAAATATAATAGAGAACGTATAAAACAGAGCTATTTTAAAATCTGAAAACATGTTAGAGGGATGAAACCAGGGTATTCTGACATATGTCCATATCAGGGGTTAGACAAAATTACTTCACAGTTAATCAAGAGTTCACAAAGTCCGTGCTTTTCAATGAGGCCAGAAACAGGAAAATGACAAGAGTCAAAGAAATGTGGCTTTTTTTTATTCTCCTGGAAGAGGGGGAGGCAGAGTTTTCACCTCCCTTGGCTCTGCCATAAGCTTTCCAGTTACACTACAAAGAATCCATGTCCTTCCTGCAGGGATGTCCCATCAGGGTCAGGGGAGCACAGAGAAAGAATGACAGAGGCAGCTGTGTAGAAAGTGGGGGGGTGGCTGTATATTCAAACCTCATATGAAAGGAGAGATGATCAGGGTCTTTAAAGATACCTATGAAATGCAGGTGTTCTTAACCCTTAAAATCAGCAAGCATAGGTGCAATAGCCACATATTAAATTAAATCACACTCTTTTCCCCCTGGTGCCTTTCAGCTATTTCTTCTCTTT